ATGAGATGTATATCAAGCAGATGGACATGCTCTCTATCAAAAAATTGTACAAAGCTCTGAGGGGAGAGTATCAGAAGGTTGAATGGAGAAGACTAATCTGCAATAATGTCGCATGTCCAAAGTGGAATTTTATATTGTACTTAGCACTGCAAAAAAGGCTACTCACAGGGGATAGACTGGTTGCATGGGGGTGCGTAGAAGTGGTGCAGTGTGTGTTGTGTGAAGCTGAAGATGAAAGCCATAATCATTTGTTCTTCTAATGTATGTTCACAGCTCAGGTGTGGCAAAAGATTTTGCACTGGTTAAATATACAGAGAGAGGCTCGAGGATGGGATGAGGAAGTGTTGTGGGCAAATACTTACTGCAAAGGCAAACAAGCAAGAACTAAGGTATACAGGATGGCAGTGGAAATAAGTGTTTATGTTGTGTGGCAGGAGAGGAATCAACATATCTTCAAGAAAATAATCAGAACTCCTGGAATGTTGGTGAGGAAGATTGTTCAAGAGGTGCATCTACAAGGAAGAAAATGGGCAAGTTGATCAGGTGCTCCAATCCCTGAATGCATATCCTGTTTTGTGTAAGGCAGTTTGATTGATTATGTTGCTAACCATAGTGAAAGACTTGATAGTTAAGATTGAAAGCTAGTTATTTGATGCAAGTATGGGGGATGTCCAACTTGCTTTTTCTGTTTTGTAATTCCTACTTGGTCATAAAATCATTTATTTACCAAAAAATATATATATATATATATGATATGATGATGATTAAATTAAATATACATATAGATTATAGATGATAAATGTTATTAAATTAAATTTAGTTAGGAATTAATCTAAGAAAGTGTAAAAGTCATTAACATTTTTATTAAAACACTACAATTTAATATAGTTAGGAATTAATCTAAGGAAGTGCAAAAGTCATCAACATTTTCATTAAAATAATATAATTTAATATTTAAATTAAATAATTAAAATTTTTATAACATTTTAATTTATAGTAAGGGTAAAACTGTAATTCAACTTTTAACTTTTTTGTTCCCACTTATACCCATTTATTGGGGGGAGGTGGACAGCCATAAAAGGAAAAATGAATCAAAACTCCTTTTATCTCATTTCCATGAGTATGACTTTTCACCTAACAAGAATGAAAAACATGGTTAATGTCTCCCTAACTTTCTTGGTTAATGTCATGTTTATGACTAACCTTTTGCATGTCTCTATTATACTATAAATAGAGACATTAGAGTTCATAGTGGATACACTTGATGATTTGGTTAACACTTAAATACTTGAAAAAATAAGAAAAACTCTCATCTCTTGTCTCTCTATTTCTATTGCTTTTATCATCTATATTTCTTGCCTTATTTTGCTTTAGTTTTATAACAATTTATAATTTGAGAAAATACATCAAGTACCACTATACTTGGCAGCAAAATTTACTTTAGCACTTTAACTACGCGGGCGTTTAAATACTCATCTTAACAACTTCGAAGTGAATTTAAAACCACCCTTAGATTATAATACCATTCTCACTTGCCACATTATAGCCATGTAAGTAACACAACATAGTCATGACAGTAGGGGTGTGCAAAAGTCGAACTAACTGATAAACCGAACCAAAAAAGTGTTATTGGTTTATTATCCTTGAGTTATTGGATTAACTATTTTTTAATGGTTTTATAAAAAAAAATATCGGGTTATCGTTTCGGTGTTGGTATTTAATATTGGGTTATTGGGTTAACCGATAACTCATTAAGACTAGAGTAATTTACTACTTTTACATGTACATAAATATAAATATTAATCTCAATATCTTACTAATTATATCTTTGTCATTTAGCCTTCAATTCACACTTCACTGTGACTTTTTGAGTTCACAACTTCACACTATACAAACAGACAAAACCTAAAGTAAAAACCTTGTTCCTCTTAATTTCTCTTTGTGTTACACCTGTATAGTTCTTTTCATGTTTGTTATTATTGTTTCTAGTTTATGAGCATTTGTAAAGTTACATTATTCTTGTCACGTTAAATTTATTAGAGAAGTCATATATTTATTTATCAGTATTTACTTATTGGTTAAACAGAAAACCGAATTGTTAAGGACCAAAATCACTAAACCAAAAACCGATAAAAAATATCTTATTGGTTTGGTTATTAGTTTAGCATATTTAAAAACTGAAAACAAATAAATCGAACCGATAATACATAAAATCGAACTGAACCGACCAATGCACACCCTTACATGTCAGCACCACGTCATTAATTAATTTTTTTATTAAAATTTTCACAATTTTTTTCTTTAACGCTTCTTAAAATTAATTTACACTAACTAATTAATTAAAAATACATTTTCTAAAATTAAAATTTAAAATGTAAATCCATTTTTATTCCCACCCCCCTCACTTCTTCTTCCTTCTTTTTCACCATTTCTAGCTTTTAACCATTTATCTTTTTTCTAAGAATTGTTTGTGTGTTATTCTTATTTCGGAAAAGGTCCAAAATATCATTTAACTACATGAAATTGAACAAAAAATACTTCAAGTTAATAGTTGGTCCAAATTGTCCTTTTCCTAATAAATATATTAGTATATATTTTTTTTCCTTTTTAACCATATTTTATTCCTAATAAAGATATTACTATTAAAGAATCCATTTTTTGTCTCTTTTCTTTTAAAATCACATTAACTAATAAATAAGTAGGAAGTGATTTTTTTCTACTCTCATTTTAACCATTAAAATAGAATAACTTCATGTACCATTTTAACGGATAATATAAGTCATATATATAAGATCATAGTAACCCTATCATTAATTTTTATTTAGATAATGATAAAAAAAAATAATCTATAAAATAGAAGATATTTTTGTATCTTAATCATTTCCAAATTGAAGTAGGATAAACATTTTCTAATTAAAAAAATCATCATCATTAGAAAAAGAATGTGTTTATAAAAGAAATTATTTCAAAAAAGGATATTTTTGACGTATTAAGTAACATTAGTGACATTTTTTAACCAAACTATTAATTGATAACTAAGTCCATGTATCTTTTTAACTGGTCATATAGGTCATATATATAATATCATAGTAACCCCATTAATATTCAAATAAAATAGAAAATACTTTTATATCTTAACCTTAATTGAAGTAGGATAAACATTTTCTAATTATAATTATCATTGTTAGAAAATAATTTGTTCTTTTCTTAAAAAGAAGTAATATATTTATTTCAAAAAGGCATTTTTGACCCATTAAGAAACATTAGGGTTACTTTTTGACCAAATGTTAACAGTAAGGGTATTCTTAGATCTTATTATTAATTGATGACATTTTTGTTGAATTTCACATAGTTAAAGGATATTTTTTATTTTTTATTTCTGTTCCTATTTTTAAAAAAGGAAAAAAGGAGTTAAGAACCTATAGTTTGGCGGGGACCATATACCACCAAATTCACAGATATTTCTATTGGGAATGAAACTTTCACCAACTGAGCTAAAAAAATTATCGTCGATCAAGAATTTTTTGAAATTAAAACTCGCTAATAGTCGGGGCCAAATAATTCATTGTTCAGATGCTTTAAGATAGAGGTGTCAAATGAGTGGATTGAATTGAATTAGGGCAAGTAAAATTGGAATGAGTTAATAAATAAACGGGTTAATAGCTATTTGGACCGAATGAGTTGAATTGAAATAAAATAAAATGCAGGTCCTAACCCACTGAATTTCTTCCACATGTACTTTACATATTCTGTTAGAGACTCGGTGTTCGTTATCATATCTACGTATTGTCTTTGATAGAAAAAGCTTCTAATTTGTTAATATTACACTTTGCTATGAACTTCCTACACAAAATTACTACTCCCAATTCCAACATGATTTAACAAGAGCAAATAATATTAACAAACTAAGAGAAGTAATGAAAAATAAATATCGATGTAAGAACTTGCAGGCCTGAAGAAAGAAATACACCACCAACTACTAAATATGTGCAAACATTCAAGGATAGTGCAAATAGAATGCTAAAAGGTAAGGAGGTAAGAGAGTTACAATCAACAATAGATAATTTATCAACATGTTCCTTTCCCCTCATCTTTGCCTTCCGAGCTTCCCTTCTATCAACCACATTTTGCAACTCTAGCATTGATAGAGATCCATACAAGTTATGTACTTCACCCAAATCTTCCATTCTCGAACCACCGCCACCACCTAGAAGAAACTTGACTCCCACTAGCACTTGGAGGCTTTTCAACTTGTTCAGATGTAGCGGCATCTTCAACCGATAAGTGTTGCTTATGTCAAGATGACTCTAAGTTATACAACACACAAATGGAATCTGGCAACTTTTTTATATCCGTCTGAGAAAGGTCCAAATATCTGAGGAGCTTTAATTCGATAAACAAGTCATTTGGCAACTCAACAATCTGGTAATGAGACAATGACAGTACCCTCAAAGATCTTAGACTTGGAAGTATGTTAAGCTCCACCCTCTTGCTTAGAGGGTACCAATTATCGAGATTAATACATGTCGGAAGCAATGTCCTCAGCTGCTCCAATTTGTAGAGTGGTGTCAATTTCTCAAAGTCACCATATCTCATTGAATATGATAAGTGCCGACTTTTTTCCGACATGTGAGATCCTTGGCTCTCTTCAAACCTGATACAAAGTTTTGAAGATGCAATTTCGGCTAAATCGTTGACAAGATCATGCATTAAGAATTTCTCTATGTTCCCTTCAGAAGAATTCGGGACCCTTTCGAATAATGATCTTGATCTCAACTCGAGAAAATATTGGTTGCCTGAATCTTGAATTATTTCATCTTTATGTGGTACAAGACCATTGGCAATCCACAGATGAATAACTTGTTCTTTCCTAAATGGATAATCTTTAGGAAATATTGCACAATAGGAAAAACATCGCTTTAAATGTGTGGGAAGATCATTGTAGCTCAACACCAACGTTGGTAATATGTCATTGTGTGGCAGCACAATGTTTATTTTACCTGTTGAATGCTAAGAGTATTATGTGATCAAGAATGATTCTCTCCTTCTCTTTTGCTACTTGTCTTGCTTGTAATTAGTACAACTATGTTTTATCTACACTCTACAGCTGACAGCCATAGAAAAAAAGAAGCAGCAAAACTGTCCTTTTGCCCAGGGCCGTCTTAACACCTTGGCCACTAAACCCATCGCTTGGGGTCCCCCATTTTTAAAAAACAACTATTTATATATTTTATTTTAAAAAAATAAAAATAAATAAATAAATAAATATATATATATATATATATGTACTATGAGTGTTATGATTTCTACTAAGGAAATTGCATATAAGATGAAAATAATTCTAAATTTCGTAAGAAACAATTTGATGAAAATATGGATAGCGAAATCACAAAGTCCCTTGAAGAACCTTCTAGAATTGATTGCTTTATATATGTAGAGTAGATCAAACTATTTTTTCACTTCAAAATAGATTTGAACCAATTGAAGCATATGGAAATATTTTTGATTTCTTATTTAGTGGTAAAATATTGAGATCACTAGATGATGAGAATTAAAAAAAAATATTGTCTTAACCTTGAACTTTCTTTATCATGTAATAGTTATTCTGATATTGATGGTTTAGATTTATTTTTTGAATTAAAAGTGTTGAGGAAAATAATACAAGTAAAAGATAATGGTATAATTAAAATACTCAATCAAATAAAAAGACTTGATTCTTTTTCAAATACACATATTTCTTATAGAATAATGTTAACAGTTCCTGTAACTGTTGCCTTAGCCGAAAGAAGTTTTTTGCGAAATTAAAATTGATTAAATCTTCTTTAAGATCAACAATGTCTAAAAAGAGATTGAATGAATTAGCTATATCATCATTTGAAAAGGAATTATTAAAACAAATTGATTATAATACAGTACCTAATGACTTCACATCTAAAATAGCTAGAAAAATAGATATTAAATAAAAGTATATATGATGGGGGGAAAAATAGGGTAAATTACATAAATCTCATAGTTTTAATATGAAATTATAATCTATCCCTAATAAGTTTTTAATTACATTAATCCCTTGAAAATTAAAAAATTCGGATACAATAATTGAAGCTCGGATACATTTATATGTAGCTCAGATACATCAAAAACTAGCTCAGATACATAATATGTAGCTCAGCTGCATTAAATACTGGCTTGGATACATTAATATGTAACTCGGATACATTAAAAACTAGCTCGGATACATTAAATACTGGCTAGGATACATTAAAGAAATAAGGAATTTTGGAGATTTTTAAAAGTAATAGGGGATAATGGAAATAAGTGAAACAAAAGGTGTGTATTTATGTAATTTGTCCAAAAAAATATTAGGGCCCCTCTTAAGTTTCGCTTTAGGCCCCAATGTTGTTGAGTCGGTCCTGCTTTTGCCCAACAAAAGAATAATGGAGTGTGGTTTCTTGACTATTTCAAAAATAAAAGAGCTTAATATGAAAGGCGGAATGACCTGAGAGGCACCTGTACTTGGCTCCGTTTATCACCTAAACCTTTCAACTCACATCTTTATCAACTGAACACTTGAAGTTACTATTATCGCACTTTGCCTGATGACATAAAAAAATGCATTTGCTAATATATTACAGAGGTTGAGAATAGAAAGCAAACATTAGTAGTTCTAGTACAACATATATTTTTTTGGAGATTAGTATCTAGGGAAAATGCTTAAGTAACTCCCAACCTACGCCCAAAATCTCAAAGACACACTTCTACACACTAGTATCTATAGAAAACTTTGTTTTACATATTAATTGCTAAATAATACTATAAAGAAGTTGTGTGTTTTAGTAGAAATTACCAGCAAATTATAGTTTTAAACAAGACATTTTCTTTTTCTTATTCTTGCTAGAGATAAGGATAAACCATCTAGTAGTGGATGTGTTTGTATATTTGGCAATCATAGGGAAAAAAAATATTTTTTTTATTTTTTCTCTTTTCAAATTTTTTTCCTCAATAATTGTTTCATAATGTATCGTATCATAATTTAATTGATTTAAGGGAAAATGCATAATTACCCCCCAGCCTGTGCCCAAAATCCCTGAGACACACCAAACATTTACTAAGGTCCTATTACCCCCCAAACTTATTTTAAATATAATTTTCTACCCCTTTTCGGCCTACGTAGCACTATCTTGTGGGCCCAGCACGTGTTGACAGTTTTTTCAAGGATAGTGCCATGTAGGCTGAAAAGGGGTAGAAAATTATATATAAAATAAGTTCGGGCCGGGGGGGGTGGGTAATAGGACCTTAGTAAAGGTTAGATGTGTCTCAGGGATTTGGGGCATAGGCTGGGGGGGGGGGGTTACTTATGCATTTTCCCTTGTTTTAATGAATACAATGTTTGGATAGATTGTATGTTTCTCTGTTGTTACATAATGTCACACATTCATAATTTGAGTGATAAACCTACAAAAAAATAGGGTACGACGTAGAGCTATTATGAAAAGGTAGGATAAAAGATGAAATATGATTATTAAATAATAATGTCAATAATAAATAAAGATAAAATGAGATGAAAATATAAAGGTAACGACGCCCATCATTTTTAATTTGTGCCGATAGTTTTGCAAAATCTTACTATTTGGTTTCTAATTGTATAAATTCAGAATTTGTATAATTCGGTCCCTGATTGTATAAATCCAGAATTTATATAATTCGGTCCCTGATTGTATAAATCCAAAATTTATATAATTCGGTCCCTGATTGTATAAATCCAGAATTTGTATATACTTACCCTAGATATTTGTGTACGATTTATGAATAAATTCATAATTAATTATCCTGTTTGTATATTGGCAAACGAAACATACAAAAATTCCTAAATGTATAAATACATAATTTGTATATACTTACCATTGTTGTATATTCACAAGAGAAATATACAAATGAGCAAGCGAAATATACATATTGCTGCCTCCATTTGCATAAACTTACCCTGTTTGTATATTTGCAAGCGAAATATACAAATCACTACCTCCATAGCAAACAAAACTATAGCTATGAGGGCGCAATTACCGAAAATATAGCTATAGAGTCTTATTATGTCTATTAACTTTGCTATTTCTGAAATTTTCTCTATTTTATTTATATATATAATGTAACTTTTTAAACACAAATACATAATTTTGATCAAAGCTATTGGATTATATCAAATTCATAACTTTTTCTCTAACTTTGTCCATGTATGGGAAGATTTCCATTAAAGAAAATATAATATAAAGAAGAGAAAGAAAAACTAAAAATAAATAAATTTTAAGCAATATAAACTGAAATACATATACATCATTCAATCTGTAATAACATAAAGAAATTAGGGGAAAATAAGCAAATACCCCATAAAAGCAAAATAATTACAAACATATACCCCTTTACATTCATACCCCACTAAATAATTACACTATATACCCCGTTTACTAATTTCACCCTTAATGAATGGGGGTATGGACTGTAATTATTTATCAAAGAATGGGTTTTTCAGAAATTACTTTTGATTTGAGTATAAACTTATAATTATTTTAGATTTTATGGCCCATTTATGTAGTTTTCCCAAGAAAATTATGCAAACATGCATATTTCACTCCTCAAAATCTTCCCTGTTTCTTATACTTTTTTATATTCAAAGTAAAAGGAATGTCATTCACGGTTCAACAACAATCAATATTTCACGAACAAGAGTATAATACTTTTTAGTAGTGGTTCTTATTTATCATATATATTAACGATTGAAATATGATTAAAAAATAATTTCAATTTAATAGACTTTTTTCTACCTATGAATTTCATTATATTTTAGAAATGATACATTGAAAGAATCCGTTAGATTTTCCAATATCAATAGATTGATAGTTTCTTTTTTGTATCTTTCCAAAGGAAAAAAAGATCTCAGAAAGAGTTCAACAGAAGTATGTCGTTGATTGCTTTCCTTATTTTATTGTATGTGTAAATTATCTTAAGGAAAGCCTTCTTTTTTCCTCGTGTGAGGATTGTATAACTTGTATCTATCCATTATTAAATGATTTCACTTAATAGAGTCTTAAAGGCGGCCTCTTTGAAAAGGGGTCGTATTAGTTGTCCTAGTGTAAAGAGTCAGTATTGGCCGTTGGCATTACCAAGGTAATATTGATTGATGCGATAAGGGGCATTTTGGTGATTTACATTGAATTTGACCTACTTAAGAGGGTTGTAACGTTTACATGTGTTATTCTTTCATTCTCGGTGTTGTGACATTCTTATAAAGCCTACCTACTCTTCCCTCTTTATTCATCTCTTCAGCTTCTCTCTAGCTCTCGCTGCTTAGTTTATGTTCCGTAACAAGGTTCTATTTATCCTACTTTTTTCTTTATTTTTCCAATGTGGGTATTGTTCTTCTCCTTTTGCTGAATTTTTATAGATCCTCCCCCCCCCCTCTTTTTTTACGCAATTCCTTTTCAAGAATAAATCATTTTTATTGGTGGTCTTATCCTCAATATACTTGTGCTTAGAAGTGTTCACAGTTTGGATAAAAATCGATCCAGATCAAAAAAATATATCGAAACGATTCAATAAATCATTTTTACTTGGTTTGATTTCGTTTGGTTTTAGATTTTTGAAAACAGATAGAATTTTTTATTTTGTTCAAAAAGTGGTCGTATTAGTTGTCCTAGTGTAAAGAGCCAGTATTGGTCGTTGGCATGCCCGAGGTAATATTGATTGATGCAGTAAGGGGCATTTTGGTGATTTTTATTGAATTTGACCTACTTAAGAGGGTTGTAACGTTTACATGTGTTATTCTTGCATTCTCGGCTTTGTCACATTCTTATAAAACCTACCTACTCTTCCCTCTCTTTAGGCAATTACTTTTCAAGAATAAATTAATTTTTAGGTGTTCTTATTTTCGGTATACTTGTGATTAGGGGTGTTCACGATTTGGATAAAAATCGATTCAGATCAAAAAAGTTATATCGAAACGATTCAATAAATCAATTTTATTTGGGTTTGGTTTCGTTTCGTTTTAG